CTGAGAAAACAAACATTTAAGAAAAATTGTAGCGGGGATTAAAGTATCTTTAACGACTAATACAAATTGCTACAGATGCTGGAAAGTTGATATAAAAAAATATAAAATGCAAGAAACACCCACTGGATCTGCCAACATCTGTGGAAAGAGAAACAGTGTTAACATTTCACGTAAAATAAATAGCTCTGGTAAAAGGCCACAGACCGGAAAAAATAACTCGGATACTCTGACCCTGTATGCTGCCATGTTTGCTGAGTATTTCCAATATTTTCAGTTATTTGAAATAACTGCAACCTTGCTAAGCAAAGCTTGCCTCAGGCCTTTTTAAGATAAATTTCAAGATGATTGCACTGATTTTGTTACCTTTTGTCACCCAGTGGTACCGTTTTGTAAGTATCTAGGTGAATATTACATCACATTAAAAGTACATAAATGCGCATTGCTCATTATACAATCACAATCAGCTCCTGTGTCTACCAAAGCAACCAAAGATAACTTCAGACTGCTGCATATCAGATAGGTTCAGTAGTTACAGTCCAAGCTTAATCCTGGTTGTTTGCAAAGTTTAAGGGAAATCTTGAATTCTACTACATTGCAGGAGGCTGTACATATGTGCTGAACTTTATGGTCTACATAAAGGGTAATTTTGGAATTCCAAGTAATGACCTGATACTTCACTGTTGTTTAGTATATTGTTAAACTAAAATGATGCCAGACAATTGATAGCAGAACAGAGTTTCACTTCATTTTGTTCCAGCCAGATCGGCTCATAATGGTTCTGAGGAAGGGCCACTCAATCCAAAGTGTTAACTCTGATTTCTCTCCACAGATGCTGCCAGACCTGCTGAGCTTTTCCAGTAATTTCTATTTTTGTTGCAGCTTATAACTCCACATTTACACTACAATTCTGGGGTTTATGTGAAGCAGCAACATTGAAATGATTGAGGAGATATACCGTAAGACACGATTACAGATAGCAGTGTCACCATTGGCACGATGACTGGACATCATTTTTCAGACCCACTTTTCAGATCAACAAAAATTTCAGTCCAACATTCAATCTAATGGTTTTTGGTAACCTATATAGATGGTATCAAGGCAGATCTGCAAATATGGGAACAAAAGCTGCAAGTTTGAACATTTAAGGCATTTCTAGACTATTGCCATTCATGTCATTAATGGGTGTCTATAACAGTGGTAGCCCAAGTATATTGTAGAAACATTTCATATACATCCACAATTCATTATAAATCTGCACTGGAAATACAGTGCATTCAATGTACATTGAAATAAAATTTACAACTGATTGGATAATTTTACCAAAGGCTGATATTTACATTTTAACCACTGGCTTGAAATCACAAGACTTCCTTCAAACTTCACGCAGGTTACTGAGGACACAGCACCACACCAACACATGTTTCATTAAAAAATATGAATCTTGTCTGCCTGAAGTTATATTTTAACCCTTCACATCTTGTAGGTGGCAGCAGCAGAATTAGGCAAATTAACTGCAGGTAATTTCAAAAGGCAACTGTAACTGGACTACTTGGGAGAGAAGAAAGAGAGGGAGAAAAACCGGAAAATTATAAAGCTGTTAGTCTAACATCTATACTGGGCATGTAATTAGAATCTGTACCTGAGGGATAAGCATTAAATAAAATTTGAGCTTATTTGAAGAGCCAACACAGGAACATGTGTAGGCCATTCAACTCACTGAATCTGCTCCTTCATTCAATACAATCATGGCTGATCAAACACTTCAATATCTTTTATCCACCTCATCCTTATAACCCTGTATGCCTTTGGTAATCAGAGATATATCAATCTCAACCTTAAACAGATTCAAAGACTGGGCCTCCACAAGCCTCTGTGAACATTTTCCTCATCTTGGAACCAAGTGGCATCTCCCCTATTTTTCAAAATTGCACCCCTGTTCTAGACCCTCCAGCCAGGGGAAGCACCTTACCTGTGTCTACCCTATCTATCCCTTTAAATATTTTCAAAGTTTTAATGAGGTCATCTCTCATTCTTTGAAACTCTAGTGAATACAGACCCAGTTTGCCCAGTCTCTCTTCACAGAACAGTCCTGCTATTCCAGGTACAATTCTGGTGAACCTTTGTTACAATCCTCTATGGCATTAATATTTTTCCCAGAAGTTTTAAAATCTATATACTGTTGTAATGCCAAGGTCAAGAATCTAACTGAATTTTCTGGGGAAAAAGTCTGAAGTGTAGACAGGTGAATACCATTGAATGTGATTTACATACACTTCCAGTTGATAATTGATATAGTTCTTCAAAAAGAATTATAAGGTAAAATTGAAGTTCATGAAACTAAGCAAATGTTTTTAGCCTGGTTAGGTGTTTGACTAAACTGTACAAGCGTATAAAGACAATGAATATGTATCTGAGAATGGTTAATAGATAATGGGAGGAAGTGGCATAGTGGTTATAAGACCATAAGGTATAGGAATGGAATTAGGCCATTTGGCCCATTGAGTCTGCTCCACCATTCAATCATACATCTCTCAACCCCATTCTCTTGCGTTCTTCCCAAAAAAGCTGATACCCCCTTCTAAACTGGGATCTCAAAATTGAAGCCTGTTAATCCAGAAGGGAAATTAGGAAACCCTTCTCCACAAAGTTGGCAGAAATGTGGAACACTCTCCCATTAAAATCAGCAGATTTTATTAATAATTAGCTCCACAGCTGAAGATGAGAAGAGGCAATGTTTCCACCCTATGATGGGCAGATGTAAATGAAACTCAGTACACAGATAGGATATAGGCCATGTAAGAACTTGTTAGTTTTTGGTAAAGATGTGAATCACGTTCTAGGATGTTTCAAAGGATCCATTGACATTGGGTGATATTAATTAATTGATTTTAAAGGATGTTGTCAACTGTTTTAGAATGGTATGGGAATGTTATGTCTCAGCTGCTATTTTAGAATTTGTCACAGCAGTGAACACATGAGCAGAGTTTTCAAAGCAGGTTGTTATATCTAGGTTGGCTTGAAGCCTCTTCCACAAGACTGAAGCTCTTAAAGATTTATTTTTTCACCTTTGCAATCACAGAACATAAATATCTGGAACAGTGAAGATCACTTATTTGTAAAATCTATTGGCACATTTTATGCAAAATTTCAGCTAGAATTACAAAAGCGTTATAATGTAGCCATCACGTGGCTCTGCTGTACCAAGTGCCCATTTTCTTGCTTTAAATCGGAGATCAATAGATTATTGCTAGCCAGGTGCATAAAGAGATATGAAGCCAACTTAGCCAAAGCAGATAAATAAAGTTAAGCTGAACATGAACACTGATGTGACTGTATGGCTGAATAGTTTTAAGCAGTAGAAGGGCTGTCTCCCTTTTTCTAAGCATCTAGGTGGGCTAAAACAAAGTGATAAGGGAGACTGCTTTGTAAACTTTGCTCTTGAGTCAGGTCAGAATGTAGACTTTGAACTTCCATCAAAATATGTGGGCACTAACGTTAAAATGAAGTCATACTAAAACATGTTTTAAGGAGGACAGCTGGGGAACAGATCAAATTGCTACAACACAGGGTACATCAGTTACAATTTTAAAATAAGTTATATCTGGAAAGAAACAAAATAGCTTTAAAAGTATTGGCAGAATAAATATACACTTTCCAGATTGAAGCTTAACTATTTATTTATCTGTCTTGTGTACTGATAAGATGGAATAAATGATCATCTTCCACCATTTCCACTACCTTCAGCAGGACTCCACAAAACACCTCTTTCTTTCCTCTCTCCTCTTGTCAATATGCTACAGGAACTGTTCCCTCTATGATACTCTGGTCCACTCCAAATACTTCCTCAACCCACTATTGAACCCTTCACAGAAGATGTTATAGTTGCCCTTATTTCCTCCCTCCTCACTGTCTAAGGCCACAAACACACTTTCCAGGTGGAGCAAATAAAAACAGAAGTACTGAGGACACTGTAAATCTTAAATAAAAACAGAAAATGCTGGAGCAAGTCTAAAGAAGATGTATCATATTTGAAATTGTAACTGTTTCTTGCTGCCTACCTGCTGAGTTCTTCCAGTACACTATTTTTATTTCAGATCTCCAGTGTGTTCAGCCATTTGCTTTTATTTGATGTTAGTTAATCCTTCTTTTGTGGATAAATCCAAATGCTGATATCAACAATTTAAGATAGATTGCAATCAAAAGGGAAGAAAAAGTAGCTTATAACAGCCATTTGGCCCATCACAACTGTGATGGCTCTTTGTTACAACAATTTATAACCAATGGTCAATCTCTACCCCAGTGGCTCCACGTCCTCCAGCTATTCACATTCATCCCTAACTTTTTCCTCAAACATATTTCCTCAGCTGGCTCCTCCAGCAAAGAATGCAAGTCTGCTTAATTGAAGGCATTTCTCTGAACTGAAACCTACCTAATTCCTAATAATTTTAAATTGGTAGCCTCTTCACTTGTTCATAGTATTTCCCTTCTCAACCAAAACGTTTTATCATTACTCCTACTGAACCTTTCCAATCTGTTATAAATAAAATGTGTCTGATGTCGGCTCCAAACTGTTGCTGGATCATTTCGAAGATCGCTTTGACGAATTTAAACCTCTTACGGCCTTGTACCCACCCGCTAAAATACACAGTCCACTTTTGAACAGTCCCTTCACCTCCCTCAGAAACATGGATTTTAAATTTCACGGCCAAAGAATAGCCTGGATTTCTTTGCATTATGCACCATAATTTGCAACATGTTGAAGTGTTGGAGCCGTGATAAGCCTGAACCGCCGGCCCCTGGGTAAAGACTGTAACAGAGTAGCCTGCCTGGCAACATTGTAGCGCCGCTTTACGGCCTGAGCCCTTCTCGATACACAGAGCTCCAGATCACTGGAGAAAGGTGTGCGCTGTAAACGGGAGCCACACAAGGAAGCAGCTCCCGAAAACCTGAGCTCTCGCTCTCAATGGAAACCCCTATTTTCATCGGCCTTTTTCACTCACCATCTGCACTCCACATTTCCCAGGAAGCTGCTGCTCATTCAACCCCCTTGACAGCCGGAAGTAACACCCACTGTCCCTCTCCTTTCTCAGAGTAACCTCAACTCC